GGATGGGGAATAGCAGTAGCTCCTGAGAGACAGAAAGAGGCCCCAGTGAGTTGCCCATAAAGAGTTATTTTTTTAGCACACCTGTAATCTCAGCACTTGGGAGGCTGAGGCAGGAGGATTGCTTTAAATTCAAGGCTGGCCTGGGCTACAAGGTGAGTTAAGGCCAGCCTGAACTGCACAGGGAAACTGTTTCAAAAAGAGGAAAAGACAGTTGTGTTTCTTTTTTGTTCAAAGCATTGCAGGTGGTTGCTGATGAATGGTAGAGGTGTGCTTAGCATGGGTAAGGCCCTGGGTCTGATCTTCAGCACCACAAACCAACCAGACCAACATAAACTCCCATGTAAAAAGCCAAAATACATTTACTAAGTGGCCTTTTAAAAGACAGCAATTGCCCTTGCTCTAGAATTTTAGCAGATAGGAAGCAGACTTTGTGGAGAAGAGTGACAGTGGCATCACACTCACATGAAGGCCGTTTTGGGGTATAAGTCATGGTATGAGACTGTTGAAAATGCACATGCACACACACATGCACATTTTAAAAAAAACATTCCTGCTGGGTGTGAAGGCACATAACTATATAATTCCCAGCACTAAGAGACTGAAGCAGGAAGATCGCTGTGAGTTTGTGGCCAACCTGAACTACATCATGAGTTCCAGGCCAGCTTGAAAACTACATAGTGAAACTCTGTCTCAAGAAATCAAAGAAGTTGGGCTGGGGATTTAGTTCAGCGGCACAGCGCCTGCCTGGCAAGTGTGAGGTCGTGAGTTCAATTGCTGGTACCGGAAAAAAACAAAATCAAAGAAGCATCCCTATTGATTTAGACAGTATTTTGGAGTACTGCCTGATAGCAGACACTGTGCAGGTTACACTCACAAGTCTATGAGCCTTGCAGGTTTTCTTTGATGATGAAATTCTCAGAAGTATTAATTTGTCTAGATGCCATAGTAAATGGCAGAGCCTGAATTCTTCCACTTTCTGGCTTTATAGTCTTCATACTGGGAGTTTTTTTGTTTCTGTTTTTTTGTTTTTCTTTTTGAGACAGGGTCTCGCTCTGCAGTTCAGGTTGGCCTTGAGCTCACTTTGTAGCCCAGGCTGGTCTCGAACTCAGTGATCCTCCTGCCTCAACCTCCTGAGTGCTGGGATTACAGGCGTGTGTCTCGGGGCTGGGGATTTAGCTCAGCGGCAAAGCGCCTGCCTGGCAAGCGCAAGGTAGTGAGTTTGGTTCCCGGTACCGGAGAAAACCCAAAAAACCAAAAAAAAAAAAAAAAAAAAAAAAAAAAAACAAAAAAAAACAGGCGTATGTCTCCATGCCTGGGCTGCAGCTTTTTTTTTTTGTACTGGGAATCAAACTCAGAACCTTGAACTTGCCAGGCAGGCACTTGTGCCGCTGAGCTATATCCCCAGCCGTACTGGGAGTTGATAGGTGCTTTTTTTGGGGTGGATCCCATTTGCTTCTGCTTAAGTACTGGGTTGAATGATAACCATGCAATGGCCCACACTTCAGAGTCTTTTTACCTGTGAAGAAAAAGTTGAGGATTATGGCTGTTTATCTGTTTACTTTTTTGGTCATTAATTTGGGAGATTTGCAGCTGTTTTTTTTTTTTTTTTGAGACAGGCTCTCAGTTGGCCTTGTCCTTGCCCTTGTGGTGATCTTCTCCCAAGTGCTGGGGTTACAGGTGTGTACCACTTTGTCTAGGGCAGCTGATTTTTGGACTGGAACACTTGGAATCTAATTTCTGTGCTAAGATTGATGATTTCAATGGATCGAGCTATGGGTATAGTGACTATATGCATGTGGGCTATGGTGGGATATTGTAAATACATGCATAGTGTAAAAGGAACTTCCCAGGATTAAGCATCATGTCTATATTTTCACTTGTCAAACCTGTAATGGAAGCCAGCGTGTGGGGTGTGTGCCCATGTGTGTGACTGGGATGGAATCTAGGGCCTTTGCTGGGCCTTTTCTTAATTTTTGAGACAGGATTTCTCCAAATTGGTAAATTGTGTAGAGCACTGGGATTATAGGTGTGTTCCACCAACCTGGGTAAGATCCAGTATTCTGAGAGCCACAGAAGCTTGATCTTACATTGGGATGCCGTAGGTGTTTCCATCAGCCCTGCCGGGTGTCATGCATGGACGTGCGGCAGTCATCACTGGGTGGCATGGATACTGCAGGTTTACAATGACAAGTAGTGATGTGCATTTTAAATTCATGAACCCAGTTACAAATATCCAAGAACACTGCATTGATAGATTCACGTAGGCCTGCTAGATGTGCTAGGTTGTGCTGTTGCTAGTAGTGGTCACGTTCTGTGAGTAAAGGGATTTATTCAGCAACTGAATCACTTGATATGGTATTCTTTTTTTTTTTTTTGAGACAGGATCTCACTATGCAGTTCAGGCTGGCCTTGAGCTCACTTTGTAGCCCAGGCTGTCTCGAGCTCACAATGATCCTTCTGCCTCAGCCTCCTGAGTGCTGGAATTACAGGCGTGCACCACCATACCTGGCCTTGCTATTCTAAAATTCTATATAACAAAATAAATTTGTTTCAGTTTACTTATTAACTGTACTATTTTCCCCTAGCTCACCGAAATCAGAAGATTTGAAGTGGAAAGCTAAAAGCATTTTCTTGTTTATTCTGATGTACTTTGTTGTCTTCATTAACTTCCGTTAGGGGGAAAAACTGATATTTTTTAATTTAAGAGGTGACATTCTTAAGGTTTTGGTGTTATTGTTGTTTGGTTTTATAGGAATTCTTTTCAAAGAAGTCAGATTGTTCTTTATTCATGTTTGGATCCCATAATAAGAAGCGTCCCAATAACCTAGTTATAGGTAAGTATCATTTCCATTTGTGTTTTTATTTAGAGTTATTTTTGTGACTCAGATAAACTAATGGTGTTCAGGATTCAGAAGTAACCATTGAACTCTAAAATGGGTTTTGGTTTGGTTTTGTTTTGCTTTTTTATTTTGTGATACTGAATGAAATGATTTTCTGGGCTGGAGTATAGCTCAGTGGCAGAGTGCTTGCTTATTTAGCATGTGGGAGGCCATGGGTACAGTCTCAACATGGTGAGAAAAAAAACTGTCTGCTAGTCTCCAGATAAAGAAGAGAGCATATTAATATAGTCATACTAATAGAGGGAAGTTAGCATGAGTAAGAAAGAATTTGGTCGAGTCCGTGGGTTATTCATGTGTCTTTGGATACCAATGTTTCTGACTGGTGAAGCAAGCTCTGGTTAAAATGAAGTGTGGCCCTGAGGCGCAGCATCCCTGTCTGTCTGGCTGTGGATGTGGCATGGTTACCTCGTACTTGAGTTGGGGGTCACCAAGTTCCCATGACCATTCATCCACTGGAGTTAGAGGGAACATTGCCTCAAGTTGTAGATGTTTCTCTTATATGCAATATGATTAGGGAAAAACATTTATTCAGTTAAATTAGCCCTCATATCATTGTGTAAGTGCTTTATTTATTTATCCATCTATCTATCTATTTATTTATTACTTATTTTTTGAGGCTGGGTCCTGCTATGCAGTTCAGGCCTTGAACTCACTGTGTAGCCCAGGCTGGCCTCAAACACGTGCTGATCCTTCTACCTCAACCTCCTGAATGCTGAGATTACAGGCATGTGCCATCAAGCCTGGTTTTCCTGTGTGTGTGTGGGCATGTGTACATGCTGAGGTTTGAACCCAGGGTCTCGCACATGCTAAGCACATTTTATTCTTCTGAGCTACTCTTCCAGCTTCCATTTGTTTTGTAAAATGAGGGAGGTGGGCTAAACATGCTCTAAGGTTCATCCTTAGCTAACATTCTAACAAGCCAACTTAGGGAGGGTTGAAAATTTAAGAATGAAGGAGCATGAGCCAGGTGTGGTGATGCATGCTGAGGCAGGAGGGTCGCAGCCTGAATAACAGAGATGAAAGTGAGATCCTGTCTCAAACTGAAAATGTAAAAAATGGCAGGATGTCGTTCAGTGCTACAGTCCTGCACCCAATCCCCAGTTGGGGAGACGTATTTGAAGGGGTATAGGGAAAAAGAAAAGAGGCAGATAGAGCATTTGAACATGTGGTGAGGGGTATACATTAGGCCTTTATGCTTAAAATGGAAGAGAACATCAGAAAGTGGTAATACCCCTGTTCCTGGATAGGGAGAACCAATATAATGAAAATGGCCAACTGTACTTCCAAAATTGTTACACAGATGTTACACAAACCCGATCAGAATACCAACAGCATTCCTCACAGAACTAGAGAAAATGCTCCTAAGATTCATATAGAAGCAGAAGAGACCTAGGATAGCAAAAGCAATTTGGAGCAGCAAGGGCAAGGCAGGAGAAGGCACAGTCCTGGACTTAAGTTATACTACAAAGCTACAGTGATTAAGAATAGCATGATATTGGCAAAACAAACAAACAAAAAACCAAATTTATGAGTCAGTGGATTAGAATAGAGAATGCAGAATCAACTCCAGGCACACTGAGCTACCTTATTTTTGACCAAAGGGGCCACATATTTTCACTGGTGTAAAGATAGCCATTTGAACAAATAGTGCTGGGAAAACTGGCTATCCACATGCTGAAGATTAAACCTAGACCTGTGTCTCTCACCATGCACCAAACTAATATCAAAATGGATTAAAGATCTAAATATTAAAAATAGAGACACAAGCTGCTGCAAGACAAAATAGCTAAAACTCTTAAAGACATAGGTGTAAGCAAAGACTTTCTGAACAGAACTCCAGTCTCACAAGCAATAACGTCGAGTCAACACATAGCTTCGCACCCTCACCCTGTTTAATGGTTTGCCTTGCCTGTTGGATTCCTTCAGGTGGGGTTCATGGAGTTGTAGTCCTTGTTTTCTCTTTCTAGAATGTCCTTCAGAACATTCTGGAGTGCTGGTTTGGTGCTCATAAATTTCCTCAGGTGTTCTTTTTCATGGAAGTATCTTCTTTCTCAATTTTGAAAGATAGTTTTGGTGGGGTACGTCAATCTGAGTTGGAGGTTGTTTTCTTTTAGGGCTTGAAATACTTCATTCAAAAGTCTCCTTGCTGTGAGGGTTTGTGTTGAGAAGTCAGCTGTGATTCTGATGGGCTTTCCTTTATAGGTGATTTGTGTATTTTCTCTTAACAGCTTTTAATCTGTT